GGCTTGTGGTCACGGTGACCGGCACAGCTATCAAGCATCCACCAATCGACGATCTGAATACAAATTGCTTCAGGTGATCTTCCCCGTCCAATGCAAGAAGCAAGCGCTCGCTCCTCATGAGGACTTGGCAGAGCGGCACGCCACCGCCCATCCTCAGTCGCAGCTGACATACCGAGCGCGCGCGCCCCCGTGACGCCTCGGAGCGTCGGTCCGTACGCGGCACACACCGTCACGTGCATGCCGCGCCCGAAGAAGCAGCAGGGTCGCCGGCCGCGGTCAGCTGCCGCTGGCCTATTTAGCACACCCGGCGGCCGGCCACAACCCGGGCTTGGCTTACCCAAACCCGCGCTGGGTAAAACCAAACCTCGCGCTGGCCTCACTCAAACCCCGGCACGCGCGCGACGGCAGCCTGGCCAGTCGCACAGAAGGCTAGGGGCGCCGACGCTGAAAGAATCTGCTGTCCTCGGCGCACAGATGTGTGTTAGAGGAAAACGTGGAGAGAGGAAAGGCCTAACGTACATAACTCTTCGGACGATGTACAACCAACATCACAAATGGGCGGATATATGTATATATATTTTTTTAATCGTCTCACCTGGCCTGCTATGGATGGTCCGGCCGTCGCCAGCGGCAGCGTGACGGTGTCACCGCTGACGGCGGCTGACGGTTCGGCCGTGGCGGCGGAGCGGGCCGTATCGGGTCGGCCACTCGGTCAGGGGGCCACAAGTCAGCCGCCCGCGGCCGGCCGCTCACCATGGTAATGCAGCGGGCCGCGGCGCCGGTACTGTTAGCCGGCGTTCACGGCTCAGTGGGCGCCCGGCGTGCCGCCGACGGCCGCCAGATGGCTCGGGTCGGGCTTCTGCCAGCGCGCCCCGGGCCTCTGACGACCGGTCAGCCGCCCCCGCGACCGGCCCCGCGGCCGCGGCGGCAGGTCCGGTCCGAGAGAGGAGAGCAGAGCAGAGAGAGCAGAGAGGCGATGGGTCGGGTGATGGGGAGACTGGCACGGTCGAACCGGAAGGGGCACGACGCTCCAGTGGAGAAACTCGTTTGCTTCCGGGTCGATGTTTGAAGTGCGGGTGTTGAATAGTTATGCCTACTGTCGAAGCTCTTTCTCTAACTGATCCCAAAATCTGTCCGCTATTTGCTTGTTAGTGTGTATCACAGACTACAATATCGTTGCCTTATGCTGTTTTCGCGCCATGTACTCCGCAAGATCAATAACAAATTTAGAGATGATTTGGCTGGGCCCTACGGCCCACTGACGATGAACCAAGCACTACCCGTCATCCCATGCGTCCAGTATGGCATGTTCCCGGACTGCCGAAAACTTTTTGCTTCGTTTCCATCTTGCACTTCCCCGCTCCAAGCCCTCACATCACAGTTCAAGCGTCCGGCCCTCTCATGGCGCCCGTGTGCCGCCAGACGTTGCTATCGTACGCGTCGTGACCGAATGACGTACGCGAGGAGACCGAAATGGAGGCATACCACGTGATCCGAGCCGGACCATACGACCTCATCGCAGCGGGGGGTAAACCACGTCACCGCAGCGGGGCATGCCAGGTCACCACAGCGGGCATACCAGGTCACCACAGAGGGGCATGCCACGCCAACCGCAGCGGGACCATACCACGTCACCACAGCGGGGCATGCCAAGTCACCGCAGCGGGGGCATACCACGTCACTGCAGCGGGCCATACCAAGTCACCACAGCGGGCCATACCAAGTCACCACAGCGGGGCATGCCACGCCGCCGCAGCGGGGCATACCACGTCACCACAGCGCGGATGCCACACCACCGCAGCGGGGCACACCAAGTCACCGCAGCGGGGCATGCCACGCCACCGCAGCGGGGCATGCCACGCCACCGCAGCGGGGCATACCACGTCACCACAGCGGGAGTGTACCACGTCACCGCAGCGGGAGTGTACCACGTGACCGAAGCGGGGCAGCTGCTGCTGAAGTGTTCGGCACCGTTCAGCTCTCGAGAATAAGTCCGGTTAGACATCAGTGTACAGTTAGACATCAGATTCCCAGGATGGAATGAATTGCAATGCCGATCTGCATTCACATTCCCGTTTAACGGAGAGCCGCAGCATGCTGAGTGTTTTAACAGTCAGTGGCGTCATATACTTAGTCTTTTATTCATATGCTCATGTTTCTGGCCTCCCGCAGAACTCTGATACTTCTACATCGATGTAGCTACACTGATTGCTTCTGATAATGGAGATTTACTTACACCACCAATAGCAGTTGGCTCTCTAGCCCACGTGCCTTAAACCATACGCACCTGTACGTTTTAAATAAGGCTGCACTCGTGTTGGGCTACATTTCTCTGGCACCGTTTGTGCCACTGAAGGATACTCCGGAGAAAAAATAATAGCATGTTCGGCTATAGACAGGGTCACATATGGTGCCAGTGAAACAGATAATGGCCTGTTTTCCAAACGTTTATACTAAACCCACTGCAAGTAACAATACGTGGGCTGTTTCTGCCAGGAGAAAGCCAGGGCAGTTACATCTGCATTGGTGTATGGTCTCAGTTTCCAGAACAGCTGGGCCCCTGGCACTGTTTTCCTCTTTGTTCAGTCCTTCACGAGCCTAGCGGCTAGCTTCTTCAACTTTGAATGCGGGCGGGCAAAAATAGCGCAAGACCGCAGATCTGTTGTGGCATGCCTTAATCATATCTTAGTCCTTCTTGTCACTTAGTCCTTCAACCGATGAGGCAAAAACGGCGCTGCGGTGTTGTCCGTGCTCGTTTCACTTTCCCGCCATATCCATGGGTCTGTTTAATCACCCCATAGTGGGTCATGTTTAGATACAAGTGGCCTACCAGCTCCGGCTAGCTGAGATCTGCGCGATGAGATCCCGGCCTCCCGGAGAGCCGAGTTACGAGCCGGTGGGAGTGGGCCGACTGGTTCAGTGCAGTCCCGTGACGACCTCCTCACAGCGATCACCACATCCCGTCCAGCGGCTGCTGACAGCCGACCTCGCGACACCCGACCGTCCTCCGCCTGGAGCGCCGGAGTCCTCGCGCCGCGCTCAGGTCCAGTCCGGTCCCATCTGGTCCAGTCCGGTCTGATCCTGTCTGGTCCGGTCCGGACCTCTCCAGGGCCGGCGCCGGCCAGCCGTCAGTGACACGCTCCGCGTCCCTGTCGACCGCGTGGGAACGCTGACGGCCGGCCGGCCAGGCCGCCACAATCTGGCAGACGCTACCCGGCCGGTGCCATATGGCGACCGGGCGGGACGCGGCGCGCGCGCCATTTGCGGCGCAGGCTGCGGCGTTTGTGGCGCAGGCCGTGCGGGCATCCATCACGGCGGCGGCTGGGCGGCTGCCGCCGGTGTTGGCCGCGCCGGCGGCAGGTGTTGCAGTGGCGCGGACCCGGGCTGTCTCGGATATGGGTCACGCGCCGCCCGAGCCGGGCATAATTGGCGCTTTTCCGGCCGTGGGCGGCGGAACACTCTGTGTACAAACAGGTCGGAGAAGAGAGCCGGCGGTGTGTATCCGGCTTCTTGTGAGAGCGGTCGTGCCGATTGCGCCGAGCAACGCTCGCTCCAGGTCGCCTTTGTTTCGGCTCGACGTAACAGGCGGGATGCTGGCGGGCATGTTGAGTGGCAGCGGGGTGGGAACAGCTGCGGCAGTTTTCTGACCGGCCCCAAGGCACCCAAAAACTGGCTGACTCTGTTTCTCCACAGCGCGTGCCTTGAGGTCACCGGTGCGGAATGCCATTTTGCTCGTTGCTTGCTTTGATTTGCGTGGATGTTCCTATGTCATGTATGTAGAAGCCCTTAAGTTACGAAGCGACGCCTACTTCATGTTCCTTGATGACGCCAGACGCTCGGACGCCCAACGGCGTCACGCTGCCCGCATTCCAGACGCGACTGCAGAAGCTTCTCTCCCCACGTTCGATGTCACGTTTGCATCGGATTTGGCCCATGTTTGTCCGGCGGGTCACGATAACGTGCCATATCGCCGAGCTCCCGGAACCTCCTCGCGGCCAGTGCGACGAAGAAATGCCCGAACGTTGTGGGCACTTCCGTATCGCTGGCCCGCGGTATCAGAGACACGTCCTGCAAAACCTTGTGGACTCTGCTATCGCTGATAGCGCGGCCTCGGCAGCTATGCTGACGGCGTCAGCACTCGTAGCTTGCTGGCCATGCCGCAGTAAAAGCTCCTGCGGAAGTGGCCACTCCTCCTTCGGTCACGCCCCCCCCCCCCCCCCGCTACTGTGGAGGTTGTCCGGCACGTGCCTGGCTATGATCCTCTGTGTCCCCTCCCTGAGCTATACGGCGATGGAGATGTGCGCGCCCCCACCTATCCTTGAAATCGTCCCCATTTGGACACTTATGAACCTTACACTGTTGACTGCTACCAGTGACGAACGTTCTCCCCAACTACCGCAACTACCGCACCTACCGCACCTACCGTACTCCCCCGTCCGCTTTGACATCGGTGATATCTATTAAACTCACAACATTCGCACACTCTGTCAACTGACTGCGTGTGCGTCGTTAGATGGTGACGTCGCAATGACGGTGACGTGAGGAATGAGGCGTTACAATGACGGTGACGTGAGGAATGAGGCGTTACAATGACGGTGACGTGAGGAGTGAGGCGTTACAATGACGGTGACGTGAGGAGTGAGGCGCTACAATGACGGTGACGTGAGGAATGAGGCGTTACAATGACGGTGACGTGAGGAATGAGGCGTTACAATGACGATGACGTGAGGAAGGAGGCGTTATAGTGACGGTGACGTGAGGATGGAGGCGTTACAGTGACGGTGACGTGAGGAATGAGGCGTTACAATGACGGTGACGTGAGGAATGAGGCGTTACAATGACAGTTGTTCTTCGACAGCCGTCCCTCCCCGATAGCCCTGGCGGCATATGATGCCGCTGCCTTGCCTCCGAACACAGTAAATTACACCCCAAAGCGCTTGACTCCAAAGCATGCCGCCCGAAGCTGTGGATGTCATCGTCACCTGCCCTGTTCCCTACAGTGATCAACGTGGCGGCCGGCAAGGCGCCCATGCAGTCGTCCACGGCGCAGGGAGGCATCCCCCAGAAGGCGGTGGACGGCAGCACGAGTGGCTTCTTCAACCCCAAGACGTGCACGCTGACCGAGCAGGAGACGTCGCCGCTGTGGTACGTCAACCTGCTGGAGCCGTACATGGTGCAGCTGGTGCGACTGGACTTCGGACGCTCGTGTTGCGGTGAGTTGATCGCGGTAACGGTGCTGGTGCTGTTGGGTCGGAGTGGCGTTCGATGGTCTGGGCTTTTAGGAGCTCTACTGCATGCTCACGTAGCGCCGACATTGCCACAAGCTGCGAGCAGAAGATATGTTTAGGTCATACTAAGTGCCGTGGCACATACGTTTTTGGAGGCTCATGATTGGTGGGTAGTTGTGGAGTGTCGGAGAAATGAAGAAAGACAAAATTCCGGGCGTGGATGCTTTGCTCCAATACGGTGTGTCGGGACGGCCAGGTTGTCGTGGCTAACGAAGCACTGAGGTGGCGATCTGTCGTTTTGAAGGAGGCTTCCGTTTCTCGCTGACTTAGGTGATGGCCTGAGGGCGTGACAAAACACGAAGGAAGCCTTAATGATAGCCGGGAACGCACGCACGAGTGATGCCGAGCAATGCTCAAGCCAAGCTGCGTTGCATCTCAGGAAGCAGCCGGTGGACGGCAGAGGCGGGCCGGCCAGCAGCCGACCCGAAAACTAGGTAGCCTCAGACGACCTTGTTCGGATTTTGTTTTGGAAGATTGAAGCCGTTCATCTTACTCTCCACTTTTAATCAAGCTGTTGTCATCACTGAAGTTCATCGAGTTTCACGTTGCATGACTGGATGTCTTAACGAGCAATCCGTGCGTTTCTCGAACTGATTTTATCACTGGGCGTGTCCAATTAGCTCTTTCTCCTAAAATGTCCGGCTTCGTTAGCTGAGCCTTAGGTTTGTTGTCAGCTTAGGTGAAACACAGAACTTTCTCATTGTCGGGTTGGACCTGCTGACACTGTTTCGTCTCAAAACAACGTCTGTCTCGCTCCTATAACGGCTCTCTATTCAACGTACTTTGTGCCATTGCATGTCTTCCTTGTCTTTATTATTAATAAAACACCAAACTCGTCGCCATACATTCATATGGCTCCCGCCATTCCAAACACATCAGGGCATTAAATCTACTCCCACACACGTAGCAAGTGATCGGCATATGCGTGCATTATTTGTTTAGGGTCATATGCTGGGACCATCGTGTAATCTTACAACAACCCATAATGGTGACTAGGCCTAAAACTATATCTCCGATTCACGTCGACCAAACGCGTCGGCAAGCTCATGGGCCGTTAACACCCGGTCGCCGCTGGTCTGCGCCCTCTCCTGGTCGCCGCGGTGGCCTCCTCGCCACATTCCTCACGTGTGGGTGGTGCTCGCCGGACGGCGGCCGGCGGGGCGGGTAGCACGACCCGACGCATCGGACCGGTTCTTCCCCTGCGCCGGACCGGTCTCCCGCCACACTGCCAGTCACGTGAAGACCCGTGCCGGCCTGGGGAGACTGTATCCTGACTTGGACCATCGCGCGTGCAGTAGCTGTGCTAGCCGATTTTGCATTGTTTCCAGACGTGCGTTTCCCAATTTGATGTCGTCTGTTCGCGTACTTTGTTTACAGCGTGCAAAAAATCAGCTACGTTCGACTTGGCATATGCAGCAACCCCATTTGAAACAGCGCAGGGACTAAATGGAGGATGGGCCGTGCCATCTTTTAGTGACGAAGCTCCAGAACGTTTCTGGGTGATCAGAACTCGGTGTTTAGCAACACTTAGGCTTGGCCACTGTGTTCATCGTCAGCCGCTTCACACTTTCTGCGCGCGCATGCCTTACACGCCACAAAACCGCCAACTCGGCAGAGCAATATCGAGGTCAACAGTGCAGTGCTGTGAAGGTCTCGGGTACCGTCAAGAACCGACGGTTGGCTCTCGTGCCTGAGCGCGGGCCGTCGCCGAGCGTTAGCGGTCGGCGCCGATGACTGCAGAGAGGGCCAGCGGTTGGCTCCAACGCCTGCGGACGGGGCTGTCGTCAGGGGTCGGTGATCGGCGCCAGCGCGTGCCACCGGCGGAGTAACGGCTCCGGCCAGGTTCCGACTGAACGGCCCGTCAGCTCTCACGCACGACTCCGGTCACGGGGAGAGGCGCCGGGCGGTCGAACGCCGCAGGGTCGCCGTCTGGCGGGGACCAGTCCCGCCGGCCCGCCGATCCCATCGGTTCAGTCGGTCCCTCCGATCCCTCCGATCCCCCGATCGCACCGATCCCACCGGCTCAGTCGGTCCCTCCGATCCCACGTATCCCGCCGATTCCGCCTGTCCCACCGGTTCAGTCGGTCCCCGATCCCACCTATTTCGCCGATTCCGGCAATTCCAGCGGCTCCGTCGGTCCCTCCGATCCCACCGATCCCACCGATCACGCCGATCCCTCTGGCCCCGCTGACCCAGCTAAAAACAGATGACAACCCCACGGTACGGGTGCTGCACAGCTGCAGACTGTACTAACATGGACACCGCAGCTTGTCGCGTCTGGGCCCGAGCGAGCCTAGGAATGGACAGAGACTGGCCGCAACCCGCCCTCAACAAGAAAACCCGGATGTCGCGAACGCCAGTGCCGATGCTCCCAGTAAGGCATCAGCGGGTGCGCTGTTGTGTCTGATGCATACGTTTGACTCACTTTTGTCTCCCCGCTGCAGAGGACAACATTCCGGCTACCATTGTGGTGCGGGTCGGTAACAACAGACCGGACCTGAAGATCAACCCCATCTGCAACCGTTTCACTGGTAAGCCCAGCACGGGTTATGGCGGGAGCTTCTAGTCCAGCGACACTGGGCGGCTACGAGGCCGGTTCTCGGAGCACAATGTCACGTCATGTCCGGCGGAAGTGAGCCACAATAACCCGCACAGCATTAGCGACTTCGACTTCGATGCGGATGGCTACTTTCACTCACTTTGCATTTGCGTAGTGACGCTTAAAACGTGCGTGAACAGTCCTTTGTGATGGTGCATAGATTATACACACGTTGTGTTGGGTGATGCCTTTTTCCACAACAGCCACTGCCTTTCATTTAATGCTGAACGTAACCCCGTCGACCGCGTCCGTCCGTCTTCGTCAGGCTTCATGGAAGAGGGCCGTCCCCTGTTCCTGCCATGCAACCCGCCCATGCCTGGGGCGTTCATCTCGGTCCACCTCGAGGGACCGCCCGGCCAGATGCTCTCCATCTGCGAGGCCTTCGTCTACACCGATCAGGTGGGCCCTGAACTACCCGGCACCATGTTGTGTCGTGTTCGGCACACTCCGCCAGTAGAACATAGAATTCCCGTTGTTTCACTACCTTCCATTTAGTATATCCGCCCCTCCCCCCCCCCCCCCACCATTTTATTTCTGGTATTTTTACATTTTCGCCGTACGGCACGAACACGCGAGCTGCAATGGGGCAACACATGTAAAGCAGAGCATACAAGATAGCACCCACATTAACTCACCCCATCGGAGAAGCTTCATTATGCCTTTTTTCTGCAAAACCGAAATAAGTAAATTATTTTTGCTCCTCCCAAATGTGCCAATCAAGCCGAGCCGGGTCGTCAATGTCCACTCACCATAGAGTCCAACCTGCCGAACACAACGTACACGCACTTAAACACGATGGCCTTTATGCATTGCTCAGCCAGTGCAACATCAAAGTAAATCGGCTTATGCCCCCCCCCCCTCGACCCTACCCTGGACCGTTGATCTACAGCGCAGCCGTCCCCGTCTGACCCGGGCTGGTGGTTGTGCGCGGCAGACCTGCCGATCGAGCGGTGCCTACGGCTCATGTCTGACCCGGGCTGGTGGTTGTGCGCGGCAGACGCTGCCGATCGAGCGGTGCCTCCTATTCATGTCTGACCCGGACTGGTGGTTGTGCGCGGCAGGCGCTGCCGATCGAGCGGTGCCTCCAGTTCATGTCTGACCCGGGCTGGTGGTTGTGCGCGGCAGGCGCTGCCGATCGAGCGGTGCCCCCAATTCCGGGACCAGCCGCCAGGCAGCACCGCCACCTACAACGGCAAGTGCTACACCTTCTACAACCAGCAGCCGCAGAGCTTCGCCGAGGCGCAGGAGTTTTGTCAGGGTCGCGGCGGCACGCTGATCGACGAGACGAACCCGGCGCTGCAAGGCTTCCTCAGCTGGGAGCTCTGGAGGAGGCACAGGTGAGGCGGAGCTGGGAGACGCTCATGGAGTTCACTCATTATTATTTGTGGAAGATTTTGAGCAGACGTGCGCAGGGATCTGTGAAGAGGGCAAACGTGGGGAAGACCAGGCTGATCTATAAACTCTGCAAAAGGTTCAGATAATGAAAAACTGGAAGACACCCTGGTGTGGCAGAGATAAGGGAGAAATAGATGAAGCAGAGCTGCATGAAAAATGATCTGGCAGAGCTCGAGGGTCTGGGAGGTCTCCAGAAAGTACGGACGTAGCAACTCTGAAAGAGGGGATGAGGCAGAGCTGGAAGAAACTCTTCTGTGTCCGGACACTTTATGCGAGCGCTGAGTGTCGTACATGTTGTTGTATTACCCATGCTTGAATGGCAAAGTAAGCAATCTTTGCTCGTGTGCAACATGGTCCGCGCCCTTTGGTTTTCGAGCACATTATGATTACTCCGTCGCATGTCTCCATTAATTGCTTACAATGCGTCAACGAGCTGAAAAGTCCATCTCACATATAGCCGTCTCCGTCAGCGAGCGGCCAGAACTGCTGGACTGATCTGACCCGCGGCCTGACCCACTCGATCTCGCCATCAGGGAGGACCCGAACGGCCAGTACTGGATGGGAGCCGTGCGCGACCCGCAGAACCCTGGCAACTGGAAGTGGATCAACGGCCAGGACCTGGGCGTCAGCTTCTGGAGCCTGCCTGGCGGCCAGGAGAACTGCGCTCGCTTCGACGGCACCAAGGACTGGCTCTGGTCTGACACCAACTGCAACCTCCGTCTGAACTTCATCTGCCAGCACCGTGAGCAGCCGACGCGTGGCAACCTTGAATGTTTGGCCGACTGTGCAGCGGTGGCGGCGTTAAACAGCGCCATCGCGATGCATCTGGAGAACTGTGGTAGGAGATCGGCCGTGCGGTAACCATGGCAATGGATTCGGGTAGGCAGTCGTCGATTATTAATTTAATATTCTTGTAATATACTACGGTTTTACCATTGATGACCGATGCTCATCAATGATCATGTACCATCCAGATTGTCACCAAAAATCATGTGATGCGCGTGCACAAAGTATAGCAAATTAGATATTTGTCCACCCGTATCTTACCAGTCTTATCATCACCCACACAGTGCGGCACGAAGGCAGATCCCGTCATGTCTTCCACCGATCAGTGCGCGTAGCATCGATCAGTGCAATCAGTGCGTGTGCGTGCGATCAGTGCGTGTAGCGGCAGACGCCTCCGGCTTCACGGCGGGCCAGCCCAGTCAGTTTGCAGTTGCTTACATCGACGACACAGGCAGTACTGAGAGCTTGATCTGGTCTGAAGGGCTGCGAGCCCGACGCTCCCACCTCTGATGCGTGCATGCGCTGACCGTGACCGCCGACGTCACGCGTGACCAGCTGACACGGGCCACAGAGCCGCTGACCTGCGGCAAGCCGGAGCAGCCGCCCAACTCGACCCTCATCGCGCCCGACTTTAACGTGGGCAGCCGGATCGCCTACCGCTGCGAGGAGGGCCACCTGCTCTCGGGGCCCGAGGAACGCGAGTGCCTGTCCACCGGCTTCTACAGCGCCTACCCGCCCACCTGTAAAAGTGAGTTGCCAGGGTTGGTCGGGGCTGCCAGCAATGTGTGTCGCTTGTGCCGTATTTGGTGTTGTCTTGGAAGAAACAATGCCCAGCTTAACAACGCAGCTCTGTGGACGGCCATAGAAACGTGCCAACAGGTCGGAGGGCTGAATTGAAATTTGAAATAGATTCTTCCCATACACCACGATGTAAAGGGTGGCAAACGTTGACAGAAGTGGGACAGCCATGTCCGTTCCGTACTTGCTACGCCAAACTCCCCGGAGTGCAAAGCAGTTATGATGCATCGAAGCGAAAATCACCCTGTATGTGGTATGTGATGTTGATTAGCTTCTGAGAAAAAATGCTTGTTGCACTATACGCTCTATATGCATTTAGATACTGAGCATAACTAGTCAAAAAGTGCAAACAAGTACAGACCAAAGGACTGACAATTAAGGGGAAACCTTGCGCCGAGGAGTGTGGGGAACGTGCCATCACCTGATGACCTGAGCTGCTCCGACCTGCCGACTCTCGTGCGCCGGTTCCCTCGAGCGCGAGCTTGCTCACCGACCACTCTCCCGACGTTCCCCAGACCTGCAATGCGGCATGCCGGCAAGCATCAAGCACGGCCGTTACAGCCTGGTGAACGACACGCGGGGCTACATGTCCATGGTGGTGTACGAGTGCGACGAGGACTTCGTCATGGTCGGCCGCAACGAACTCATCTGCGACGTCGACGAACGCTGGGGTGGCCCTCCCCCGCGCTGCGAACGTGAGTTGTCCTCCCCCGCGCTGCGAGCGTGAGTTGTCCTCTCCCGCGCTGCGAGCGTGAGTTGTCCTCTCCCGTGCTGCGAGCGTGAGTTGTCCTCTCCCACCGCGAACGTGAGTAGTCCTCTCCTACCGCGAACGCATGTACGTAGTCCTCTCCTCCTCTGCAAGCATAAGTGGTCCTCTCCATCTGCGAAGGTGTGTGTGTGCTCTTTTCCCGCCCTCCAAACATAACTGGTCCTCTCCTTCTGCGAACGCACGTGTTGCTCCACCTCTGTGAACATAGATGGTCATTTCCCGCCGTGAGTGCGCGTGGTCTTCTCGCTCTGCGCGAACTCGGGCAGTCCTCCTCCACCGCGGGCTGTGGGTCATCTCTGAACTGCAACGTGGTCTTCTCGCTCTGCGCCAACTCGGGCAGTCCTCCTCCGCCGCGGGCTGTGGGTCATCTCTGAACTGCAAACGTAGGCGGGTTCTCGCACTCAGCGGTCCTAGATGGTTCTCCGAGCCGCAGACGAAGTAACAGCTGTCCAAACGCTGCTGGCGATGGTTATGGCTTCCGATCCTATTCCTTGTTGCGTGCTGCTGCTCCGTGAAAGACTACGCACTGTTGCACGAACACATCAGCGTGTTTCAGCCTTTTCCCGAACGCCGAACGCTCCCATGGCGGCTGTCTAACAAAAGGATGTGGCAGTGTGCACATAGCAAGCAATGTCAGGTCAACGGGGAAGTAGGTCGATCACGCGTTCAGAGGCGCGCACACCCGGCTGTGGCAATGCAGCAGAGGCTCGCTGCGCATCAGTGCTGCGGGAGTGCCAATTCTAAAACCGCGGCACATGACGCATTCGCTCCCAACAGCCTTATGAATTGGTAGGCAAAGCAAATGTCTCGCGCCGACTATGAGAGGTCCATATCTGAGTGTCGTTCTTCGTCCACAGCCGTCTTCTGCAAGGAGCCGCCTGCGATTCTGAACGGCGGCTTCCGCGTCTCCACCAACTCGACCATCGTCGGCACCCTCGTGGAGTACTACTGCTTAGATGACCGGTTCACCCTGACCGGACCTCGCACGCTCCGCTGCATGCGCGACGGGACCTACAACCAGGAGCCTCCAGTGTGCCGAGGTACGACTACTACGGCCATCTGGCGGAACGTTGGGCCACTAATAGTTGTATGATACTGCGCAGTGCCTTTCAGCGTGGGAAATCCTTAACAAAATTTCCATTGATTTGCAAAGAACTGTGCAACATTTACGTCACGAGCATTAGCGTAGCTAAGAAAGAGCAGAGAGAGTGATTGACCTTCATGAAAAGAGGTAGAATAAAGTGTTACATACTTGATCTACCAAAGATCGTAAATTATCGGGAGGCTCCGTTATTGTTACGGAATGGGTTACCGTGAACTGGCGTATCGCATGGGTGCGCTGTTCCACTTTACACTTAAGCCCAGTCACCTGAAATTGTGTGGGGAATTCGGCGCCGTTTACCACCATTCTTGATATGGGAGACCTTGTGAGCGTTGACAACAAGGCATTATTTTTGCTAAAATATTTAATTGGCCGCACAACAAAGATTACTAAGCACTATTCGGTGTTTTCTTTTTTATTACGATGTTAGAATGGTAACTTTGTACCTCTGTTCATCAAAGACATGGCTACGCTACTGGTCATGACGGCCGCTACGCTGGTTTTCTTGGGCACTACGACACTAGCCTAAAAAAAACATGTTTGCGAGTGACCCAAACTTTGTGTAAATTTATATTCACGTATCATGCCATCGTACTTAAAGTCAATCGCATTCATCGCAGTTATTTGAAGTTATCTTACATAGGAACAGCCGTTGATGTGATCCCACAAACCGTGCCATGTGCGGCATTCATTTATTGAGCGGCATCGTCACATCCCACGCCACGCCCTGCCTCCATTTATCGAAGGTCACCCTCACATCCCACGCCATTCCCTGTCTCCACTCATCGAGGGTTACCCTCACAGCCCACGCCATGCCCTGCCTCCATGCATCGAGGGTCATCCTCACGTCCCACGCCATGCCCTGCTTCCGTTTATCGAGCGGCATCCTCACAGCCCACGCCATGCCTTGCCTCCGTTTATCGAGGGTCATCCTCACAGCCCCGCCATGCCCTGCCTCCGTTTATCGAGCGGCATCCTCACAGCCCACGCCATGCCCCGCCTCTGTTTATCGAGGGTCATCCTCACAGCCCGCGCCATGCCCTGCCTCCGTTTATCGAGGGTCATCCTCACAGCCTACGCCGTGCCCTGCCTCCGTTTATCGAGGGTCATCCTCACAGCCTACGCCATGCCCTGCCTCCGTTTATCGAATGACATCCTCACAGCCCACGCCATGCCCTGCCTCCGTTTATCGAGGGTCATCCTCACAGCCTACGCCATGCCCTGCCTCCGTTTATCGAATGTACATCCTCACAGCCCACGCCATGCCCTGCCTCCGTTTATCGAGGGTCATCCTCACAGCCTACGCCATGCCCTGCCTCCGTTTATCGAGCGGCATCCTCGCAATGTGACACCTCAACTGGTCAGGAGAAGGCATCAGACCTGACAGCCGGCCATGACAACCCTGACTTCTTCGAACTCCACAACAGCACAACATCTTCGTACTTCTGACGTCTGTCTGCATACGCCTGGAGCCTCTTGTCTTTTCTTTCCACTACTATTGAAAACAAAATCCGCGCTGCTTCTGCGTTATCGCTGTTTTTGTTGGTGTTTGCAATGAACATACGAGTACCTGTAGTTAGACTTTAGTTTCGTGTCGCATGTCTGTCAAAGCATGCATATATCCATACATGTGTATATACACAGGTATATGCATATATATATATATATATATATATATATATATGCATGTATTTATATATGTGCATATATGCATTATATATACATATATCTATATGTATATATGCGCGTTAATGAGGGTTTATGTATCTATGTATAGGTGTCGGTGTGTGTATGAATACGTTTGGGCACAATGCGTTTGTGATTTTGGTTGTCCTGGGTCGAACTAAAATGCGCTAATTTGCCTGTTCTTGCTTCCTGCTGCTGCCGTGGTAGTTAACTAAAAGGGTCCAAGTGTGTCGGTGTGCATTCCGTGGAGCCGTAGATTTGAGCCTTTCTTGCTTTTGGCTATCGTCCTGGCAGACAATTGGACCAGCCTTGTGCACGACTCTGTCTCACGCTTCTCTCCCGTTTTGTCGACTTTCAGAGACAGAACAATCGACAAGCACCAACCCTGCCCCGACATTTGACACCCCCCTTGCCGACGACGACCCTCTCGTGATCGCGGCCTCCGAGCTGAGTGAGGAGAGACAATACACCGGCTTCTCCGCGCCCAACCGGCCGGCCGACGACCAACCGACCTACGAAGACCCCCTCTACGACGACATAGCTTACGACGAGTCGTCGCTTTCCACTCCGGAACCGACCGATCCCACAGTCCCGCCGACGTCGCCCCCGTACACCGTGCTGCCCGGAGACAGGGTGGTCGTGAAAGATGTGGAGGGGGAGAAGCGCCGCCGGGTCTTTATCTTCCGGAGGCAGTCGACCACGCTCTCGCCCGAGGAGGAGTTCACTGAGACTCCGACCTCCACCGTGCAGCCCACCGCCCCCACTGAGCCCGCCCCGACTGTGCCGGACGTGGGGCCGGGAAGACTGGTGCCCACCCGCCGCCTCACCCTCATCCGGAACCGGCTCCAGCCGCGCCCTGGCCGTCCTGGCCGCCCTAGCCGCCCTAATCGCCTCAGTCGCCCCAGCCGGCCTGCCAGTCCGTCCAACACTGACCCACCGGCCGGCGACGCTCCGGCGGCCGAGGTCGACTCGGAGACGTCCTCCTCCCGGCCGCGGCTCGCGTTCGGTCAGGGTCCTCTGCGCCGCCGCCGGCCGCGGCCCTCAAACTTCGTCTTTCCCTCGCGCCGTCCCGCCACCGCCACCCGGCTGGGCGCTGTTTCTCGCCGACGTCCGGTTGGAGAGAACTCTGCCTCCACGGTCGTGACGACGACCTCCCCCGCCGAGGAGGAGGAGGAGGGGGAGGAGCAGGTCACTGGGCCCCGCCCCACCGACGCGGAGTCACCGTCTCCCACCCTGCCCCCGTCTACCGTGGCCGATACGGGCACGGACGTCTGGTCAGACGCCGGGACCACCGTGCCCTTCGAGAGCGAGTATATCACCACTGAGATGGCTCCGGTCCAGAGGGAGAAGCCTCAGGTCCCCGCGCGAAGCAGGCCGGCTGTAAGGCCTACGAGAAGGCGGAAGCTCGGGCCGACCCTGGTCCAGCTGACAGGTTCCGAGTCTCTTCCGGACCCCGTGGGTGCTCCCGAGGAACTTCCTATCCAAGCTGAGCCAGAACTCAGCCACCTTGAGTCGATACCCAGCGAACTCGGGGATGGCGCCGGTCAACCGGAGCTTGTGGTCGTACTTCAGCCGCTGCCCTCCGAGTCCAGCGACCCGGAGCCAGCGCCGGCCACCGCGCCGCCCGCGCCACCCGCGCCGCATGACGCCTCCCCCACTGCGACCTCCGTCGCCTCCCAGACGACCCCCCGCCCAAAGCCGGTCCACCACGAGGGGCGTCGGCCGCTGCCCTCACTGGCCGTGCCAGTACCGGAGCGTCCAGCGTCCGGCGGCCGACGTCCGCCCGCGCGCACGCCTTCGCGGCGGCGCCCGCCACCCGCCTCCACCCGCCCCCGCCTCCCGCCGCCCACCTCTACCCGCCCCCGCCTCTCGCCGCCCGCCCCCACCCGCCCGCGCCTGCCGCCCTCGCCGGCGCCCACCCGCCCGCACCTGCCGCCCTCGCCGGCGCCAGCCCGGCCCGCCGGCGCCCCGTCTAAGTCAACGCCGCCTGCAGCCGGAGACGCCGTGGCCGTGGCCGGCGCAGGCGTCATCAGCTTCGGCCCGACCGGAGGAGAACGAGATCCCGGACACGGTGAACATCCGACAGAACGCGCCCGGTGTGCGGGAGCCGGCCAACACGCTCGACGAACGCTCGACCGGACCCAAGCTGCACATGGGTGAGTGAAGGGCTGGCTGTGGCGGCCCGCGGTGAGAGGTGACTCACTCGAATCGCGATGGAATTGGCCGGGTGCTCTGACGCGTGGTCGGAATTCTCCTCAGGAGTGGAAGGGCACAAGTCGCACAAACTCCTGCAATTTGGACCGAGTTCCGGAGAAGTCGCTCGATCCGTGGTGTACACTTCTTGGCTCATGGGTGGCTCATCGCCACCCCTCCCCCTTCCCCCTCCCCGAGCTACGTGTCTGTTGGGGCTGAAGTGGTTGGATCGTAGGGATTCGTGTGGTGCAGGGTGAGTAATGGGGGGTTTAATATCGTTGATCGTGGAGACTTAACCGATACGTGTGAGTCACGGTGTCTGGTGCTTGAGTAAATAATGGGGACTAGAACGGTGCATTGATGGCTGGTGAAGACCTGAGCGGAGCATATAGGTCGTGAGGAAAGACATACATGTGTTCTGGAGTGATTTCCTGTATGTCATACCGCGGGGGCGGTTCTGGAAAGAGTAGGCGCGCCACATGCGCGCGTTTTGGTCCTGGCCTCTCTTTAGTGCTGCTCTCGGTGGCTGCCGGGAGCGGGCCGTTCAATGGCAGCAGACGCAGGGGAAATCCGAAGAGAGTTCAGGGCTGAAAGGCACGCGTGAAGCAGCCTGGTTCTGCGATACGAGTCGGCATACATGTTGACAGTAGCCCGCCCTCACGATATGGCAATCAGGCCATCAGCATCCAACCTGTACGATAAGGCATACGGTCTATCAATCTGAACGTTCGACAGGTGGTTACATCCGGCCATCCACCGCCCTTTCTACCAGCCCAATATGACAAGTTCGTTTGCTTTTGTCGTAATGTGATGGATGCTTTTTGTTGTCCGTCCAGCCCTGTTTTATTATTTGTACTTACGTCATACGTGCTCCTTTCGCACCTATTCCTCCCTGATGTTTGTGATTGCACGTTTACCCTCGAGGCTTTCAGAAAGCATGATATCAAATGTTTGTTTGCTTGTTTTGGAACGCAATTGATCAGTTTTGCTGTACATTCAGCCTTGTTTCATTGATTGTACTAACGTTATGCGTACTAGTTTCGACGTATTCCACCTTGACGGCGGTGGTGACATGATAAACTATCCCGATATTTTTCGTCTCCGGCTTGATGCTGGCACGTTTGTCATGTTGATGGTCATCATTCGAGTGTGTGCTGTTTTGTCGTGCGGCGTGACCATACTCCTTCGGAGCTGCGGATGTGGTGGATTTTCGCCTGACCATCGCTAGCAAAACACTTCGAGTTTTCGTGAATGTACATTATCTGCATGAATATGCACCCCCAAATAGCGGCAACCACTTCATTACGATAAAGTGATTGACGCCATTTGCGTTAACCACTTTATTGCAATAAAGTGATTGACGCTATTTGTATGAACCGCTTTGCTGCAATAAAGTGGTTGGCACTATTTGAATGTCAACAGCCCTGGCGTGCCCCATGCCTGCCGATTGCTGATCGCTATTCCGTGTATTACAGGCGGCATCATTGCCTTGAGTGTGTTCGGAGGATTTGTCTTCCTCGCTGCAGTGGTCACCACCATCGTGATCCTGATCCGGAGGTGAGAAACGTCTTGTTACTCATTCCTTGTAGATTATTTTATTTTTGTCTCCTGGTGTTATATTTCTTTTCGGTAAATTGAGCTGTCAGATGTGGAAATCAACTGCACTGCGCTATAAGTTTTGCTTTGATTACGGTGCAGATCCACGCTAAGAGCTTGCTGAGGTGGCGTGCACATAAAGCCTCAGCTTGTGCCGTGTGTAGCTTGCTTCGACTGCTGCGCTTCGACGTTACATGACACATGACTGAGGACTTCCTTCCATCCCTCTCTTCTTTTCACCACCTGGTGCCTCCGGCTTATATCCGTCTGTGTTTTGCTTTTCTCGTAGCTATTCTCCCAGGCTTTTCCTCTCATTAGAATACCATTGAGCAGCAACTTTAAATTTGAAGTGGAATGAACGCTGTTCAAAGAGCCAACTGTTTTACTACACCTTCTTAACGATTAAGCTAGTTTGATGGATGAGATAGATTGCCACATGAATATTTCGCGTTAATGATTATTCAAAAGCAGTATTACTATTATAAGAGCCTTAAGCCAGGATATCATATGATTCGCCATGTAGTACCATGGGCACATTTTTCTCGGGCATTTGGGTACTTGCTGTACGAACAAAACTGGATTCTGGTGGTATAAACGCCGTGCAGTTGTAAGAACCTGACATATTGCTCCCTCACTCTTTCTCTCTGGTTCTGACTTTTTCTCCATGCTGTCGCTGCCAATATGCTTCTATATTTCCGCTACGTTTTGAAGCGTACCGTATGCGCTCAAGTTATAAGCTTGCTTTGGACGCACCATCAACTGCTGCAATGAATGAATTAGATGGGAGTGATGTGAGGCCAACATTGCACCTGCATATAACCCCGTACATATAAGTCTCAGCGTTTGTACCCGTGCTGAAAGCGTCACACTTGCGATTCGCGCGTTTGCCCTCTAGAGTAGAAAATATATGGCGTCGCTCTGACATTGAAACCAGCCTCTCAGCCCATAGACCCCGGTTGTCAATCCACATTCTTACAATCTGAAAACTATTACCGCTCATGAAAACTTTTTTAACGTGTCATCTTACGACGACCCCACCACATCTTCTGATCTTTGCTGGATCCATTCACCGATTCCATCGCCTAACCCGACCCTCTTAGAGGCAACGTTAGCCCTTGAAGCTGCATATCTTGGGCCATTAGTAAACTCTGCCCTCCCAGAGGCAGGGCTGGTTCATATTACCCCAAATCACCTCCCCCCATCTGGAGTCGACCCGGACCCTGAGCCTAATCCTGACCTTGTGTCGAGCCTGGCCCTGGCCGACTGCTGACCTGGAGCGTGACCTGGCTGCACCCGGGCCCGCAGTCCGGACGGGTTAGTCCGGGAGACCGAGCTGCCGCCCTCCCCGCCCGACTCGCCTGCCCAGCCGCAGCGCTGGTACACGGTGCTGGCGCTGCCCTTCTCCGACCAAACTACCGGCCGGCGACAACTCTCTGAGTTCTCGCGGCGCGCGCGGGACCCGTACCTGCGCTGAGACGAGGGTGGACGGACGGCGGTACGTGACGGACCGGCGCGCCGCGACACGGACGGAGGCGAGCTACGTCCGACGTGCGACGCATGACGGCCCCCGCTCGGCCGTGGGACGCACGCACAAGACATGACGGCACACGCGAGGACGTGGGACGCACGCACGGGACGCGCACAGAGACGAACTCACGCCTCGCCCAAGGGACGCGCGCGGAGACCGACTCACGCTTTATCCAAGGGACGCGCACGGAACAAGACTCACGCTTCACCTAAAGGACGTGCACGGAGACGCACTCATGTCTCGCACAAGGGGCGCGCACGGAAACGGACTCATGCTTTATCCAGGGAACGCGCACGGAGACGGACTCGTGCTTTATTCAGGGGACGCGCACGGAGACGTACTCATACTTTGTTCAGGGGACGCGCACGGAATAGCACTCACGCTTCACTCAAAGGACGAGCACGGGGACGGACTCACGTCTCACCCAAGGGACGCGCACGGAGAAGGATTCATGTCTCACCCAAGGGACACGAACGAAGAGGGACTCATGCCCTATCCAGGGGACGCGCACAGAGACAGACTCATGCTTCACCGGAGCAAGTGGCGCGCAAGGAGACGGACTCATATTTTATCCAAGGGACGCGCTCGGAGACGGACTCATGTCCCACCCAAGGGATGCGTACGGCGATGGACACATTCCCGATCCAAGGGACGGACTCGTGCCTCACCCAAGGGACTCGCATAGAGACGGGCCAGCCCCAGCCGGTGAGATAAGTACTGAAACCAAACGGGCCATTGTGTGAGAGACACCGGCACAAGCAGGGCCCGCGCGATTCATGAAATTGTCATAAGCATGGCTTGGAGATTAATAGCCCCATACAGACACGCATTATCGCTAGTAGTCGTTGTTCAAAGCACGTGTATTCGTTGTCCGAAGCACTGCGATTCGTTGTCAATGCCGGTGCGGCTATACAGATTCGCCTGATTTCTTGTCAAAGAAAGCTTTCGGCACCTGTCTGTCAACAGCACAGTGGCATGCGCACGGCTAAAGGAATGGCAGACCGTTTTGAGGGGCACCACGCCACTGCCACCGCGACTTTGTAAGCTCATGAACGGCGATGGCGACTAAAACATTGCCAACGCATGACTATTTCTGATGCATTGACAGCACGGCGAACTCAACGGTAAAGAACGGTATGCTCTCGTTCCATTCGGCGCACCAATTCAACGGCACTCACAAGTTCACAAATCACAATCGCTTCCGTATTGATAGCCAATAGTGGTTCAGAAGTGGTTGGTTGGACTTCGTGTAGGTGTTCTACAACACCCAGCACCCATATCGGTTCCCGGGCGTCCGGTCGTCGACCTCTGACCTCCTCTGCTGATGGCACCTGCAATGATCGAATGTCTCAGCACTCCTTCCGGTCCGATAAACTCATCGTCTTGAAAAGCGATGGGTTCTTTCAGGCCAACACGTGCAAGGTTCTGATGCACCATGCTGACAGTTTGAGGCTCAGTTAGCCATGGTTGTCATGACACATTGCGTCGATGGTGTCCAAGCTCACCACAATGGTCCATTTCTCTCTAACATGCGTTCGCGTCCAACATCAAACGAGCACCTCGAAAAAGGGCTTTAGCGTGCTTGGTATCAGCCCCTCACATACCTACAATCATTAAAAATGCAGGGCGGAAAGACGCTGTGCAATGAAGTCGGAACAAGGGGAGAGAATGGAACTGGGAACCTAACCCACTGGAGGTCGCTGTCCCGGCAAACAGCTGTGGCGGGTTCCTGCCTTTGTTGCGGTCTCGGTGGCTCGACCACCGCACTCTGTTAAGGGATGAACGGAACACTTGGGGAGGATGACTTCCGAGTCATGGCAAAAGACCCTTTAATTTCGAGACAGCCATGCTTCAGAAGAGCAATTCCAATTTGTGTCGGTGTCCGTTGCCGTGGCAGTGCCATGTAATGTTGCGACACGACCGATTCATCCCATCCCGCTTCTTTCTTACCAGTTTTCACCATTGACCGTATTGAACAGACGCATAAACAAAGATCCTGGTACGCGAACTTACTGTCTGCCACGCTATGGTCAGATGTTGGGTCGGTCCTCTACTAGCTGAGCTGCCAAGTGAATTTGTATCCCCAGAGATTTTACAGATATGAACGAGCTTCAAAACGATAGCCACTCTTCTCCCTTCTTTTCTACTGCTTTCCACCGTGCTCACCGCTCTCTCCCTGCTGCCCCTGGCTACCAGGGGCACAGCTGGCACAGCTGGCACAGCTGGCACAGCTCCCTCTCGGTCATGCGTCATGATGTCCGCGCTTTAATGCATGCACTAGCACCAGCCCGACTGACACGTGACTGCGACTGGCACTAACACCACCCTAACTCTCTGGCTTCCAGGTCGAGCGAATTGTAACGCACTCTCCGGCGGCCGTCCTCACACGTGACCGCCACGTGACCTGCCGGTCTGTCACGAGACCGCTCACGTGACCCTCGCATTTCGCAGGAACCGCGGCTATCATCAGCGCCGCTCGCACCCTAACGCTAACTCCAGCAGCTACTCTACTGAGTCAGAGACCCACGGTCTGAACAAGTACTACAAGCGCGCGTGGGAAAACCTCCAGTCTAGCGGACGCCAGGAGCGAAAGTCGGGAAGTGGTGGCAAGTCGCGCGGAGAGCCGACCATGCGTTCTGAGATGTACCGCGACGCCAGCGAGCTGACCGTGGCGGACGTGGCGCACATGTACCGTGGCGAGGACAAGCGACGCCACCACCACCACCACCACCGACACCACCATAAGGACGAGCACGATCGCGCGGAAAGGCACAGTCGCAAGCAGTGAGCAGCGCCACCTATACGGGCTCAGTGACGCCGTTGTGCGGAGAAAACCTGAACCATGTCTGGCAAAGTCGCAAGATTCCGCAAGACCCGATGAGGGCTGGCGGGTGATTAAGGCGCAGAGGGCCCCACCCCGGGTGCAGAGGGCCGTGTTAACACCCACGTGGAGTCTGTGGTGGACGCGCTCGCGCCGGACAGCGTAGGTGACGCCGGGCAAGCCGAGTTTCGCGGCGCGGCGTGTGGAGGGGCCGCGGAATTCGGCAAGTCCCGCTTCGTGACGTCATCGCAGTGCCTGTGTCGGCCGTGCGTCTCGGCGTCGAATACCGCACTGTGAGGCACTTGGCCCCATCTGACCGACGAATGAGGTGGGGCTGAACTTCTCACGATCTACTGAATTTCCGCCAAGAAAGCACATTACAAATGAAGCTTGTCCACACACATCTTTATGGTAGAACTTTGTATAGCAGGATGCGAAAATATGATCACTTATTATCAGCGCAAAGCATCCTTCCCTGCGCGCATTTGTCAGAAATGTTGGAGTTGACCAGACGTTTGGTCGTTGTTGATAATGTCCGATGCCTTTAATCAGCTCGTGAGTACGCGAGGCATCAAGTGGTCAGTGGCGTCGTGTTTCGCTTCGGCAATTACTGGGACGCTGGATGTTGTACATAAATGTGATATTGCCTACTGATTTGTGTAAGCTGAGTGTTCTGTTATGTTTGCGCGTGTGATTCAGCACTATTTATTGCAAATGAGATGGTAGGTGAATGTAGCGCAATTATAAACGAATTCGATGAAACTGTTGTTTTTCCGTACCGACGCACGGGTTATTCGGCAAACTCTTTCAAAACGGATGCGATCTCATGGGAGCAGTTTTCTTAATTCAAGAAGATTTAAGTGGGTAACTTATGTCATTTAACTCACTTTAACTCACTGTGCCCTGCGTTTCATGCCGTTTGACTGTGTTTTTTTTTAGTTTGATTGTAGCATTTTCTTGGCGCTCAGTGCGGCATCACGCAAACCTTGGGTTTTTCTCAAACCGTAACGCATCCTGCATGTTTAACTCTCGCGATTGTATCGATTCTCATCTTTTACAGCGCATGTGGAGAACAGCCAACAACGCATGCTGTTGATTGTTTTCATGACCATAGGACCAGCCCTGCATGCTTCGAATACACGGCTGGGCATACATAGTGAGCATAGTCATTGAGATACTCGCACCGTAAATGTTTCTGGTCCATTTCCGCTTTGGCCTAATGACATATGCCTAAAAAACAAAGAGAGTCAAATCTGCCCCAAAACTACTGGTTTCCAGACCTCCATTGCATCAGTGCTGGCTATGCCATTGGGTAAAATGCCCTTTGCGGAGGCATTCAAATAGTATCTTTGTTCCATGTCACACTCTCAGCGGCCATTTTCCAACTCTCTCGACTGTCCAACGAGCCCATCGACCACGGCGTCCGGTCCTCTGCGTGAGAACCGCGGTGCAGCACGCACTCGCCCTGCAGGCGGCGGCCCGTTACCGGCGAGCGACGGCCGGCCCTGGCGGCCGCGAGAGCGCCGACCGCCACCGCAGAGGGATGCCGCCCGGCCCTGCGGCGGCCGCAGCGCTCCTGGAGCCGCCCCGGAGCCGGCGTCGGCGCGGGACCGGCTGACAGCCGCCGGCGGCTCCCACCGAGACACAGGAGACGGCGGCTCCCACCGAGACACAGGAGTTTGCGACTCCCACCGAGACACAGGAGACGGCGGTTACCAACGAGACACGGGAGATTGCGACTCCCACCGAGACACAGGAGGCGGCGGTTACCAACGAGACACGGGAGATTGCGACTCCCACCGAGACACAGGAGACGGTGGCTACCAACGAGACACAGGAGAAGGCGACTCCCACTGAGAGACGGGAGATGGCGACTTCCACTGAGAGACGGGACGGATTCCGCCGGATGTGGGAGGCGGTGGGCTTCTCATTGATGTATCCCTACGTTGGACTAAACAATGCTTTAGAGATATAGCTTGGACCAATGTAACTGCTAACATGTGTGTGCAACCAATTGCTGTTAGCTTTGAATGACTACAACTGTAAAAATGCAACGTCTTGTCGGGGAATACTGCTATGAACAGGGACTAGTCACGTTGGTCTTGGGTCAGCAATAAGGACTGCCCTCTTACATGTTCATACGACGCAAAAATGATCTTCAGTTTCCCTGCGCACATATCGTAACAAGGCAGCTAGCATTCATGATATGAAGTAGTCAAAGCGATCAAATTATCGGCCTACTGTTCTCCTCCACAGCCTCCTTTAATGGTCAATACACAAAGTAAACATTTGCAAACAACTACTATGACGAAACAGCTGTGACAAAGCTTGCACCGAAGCGTGCGTCATCACATCTGAAAGGTGACACAGAAGAGCGACATGCGCTACGCCCTGGCGTCTATTGGATCTGACGGAATCGCTGGATCTGAAGGAATCGCTGGATCTGACGGAATCACTGGATCTGGCGGAATCGCTGGATCTGGCGGAATCGCAGGCCCGCGTCTCCCTGGGCCTGCCTCGCGTCATAATTGCAATGCCACGTGAATGAGCTGCGCCTACGATGGTCCATTTGTGCCGCCATTCGGTCCAGCGACGGCCACCGCTTCCCCTGTGTGCAATAGCACCTCTCGTGTGTATCCTATCCACGCCATCTTTCAATACCAGCAGCTGAAAATACCACCCACCCGCCGCTGTGTTTGCCCCCCGCGCACCTCTCGTGCATTCAGGCGGTATGCCGAGCGACTGACTGTTTGCATGCGCGTCAGCGATGGCGCGCCGCCAGTTGATGACCCATTCAGGACGGACGCCACTGTGCTGGGTGCATCCGGCTCGATACGCCATCCCGGCCGCCCCACCGCCCCCGCCCCACCGCCACCCCCGCCGGTGGCGTGAGCGGCGTGCGCGCGGCACGTGCCTGTGCACGGCCCGTGACGGGCTAAAAAGCCCCGAGGCCAGGCGAGCTTGTCCGGAGTGGGGGTGCTTTAGTGGTGCGTTCAGGGCGCGCGCTGCAGGCGCGACTGGCCGGTACTCTGAGCCCGAAGCCAGGTGTGCGTGTCGTTTGCAATCCGGGCGTTCGCAAAACGCTTACTGTTGGAGTGAGCGATCCGTGTTTTGGGAAGGGAGCTAGGAACGCTACTTAACCTGGCACCATTTGGGCTAAGCTTCGCCAACTGCGACCCGCTAGGCGCCACTTCTTTAAAACTTCTGCTAGTCCAGGATATGACTGCCGGGTCAGGCTTTCAACGACAAATTGCTAGTCCGCGTCATGTTGCCTGCGAAAACGTTGCATTGGCTACCACCGCGTGGTTGGTGGTCAAGTACGTCACGTAAAATACCTGACATCTTTAAGGTTTATTCCGAACCGCTTGACTGGCTAGATTTCTGGGATGAGCGACCGTGCTGAGCAATGTTCAATGCGTGAGCATTGAGCCCACTCACCGATCACGAGTTATGGATCGACGGCAGAAATTTGCGGCAAGAGCTTGACACGCCATAATGCTCGGCATGGTCCGTCTTGCCCACTGACGTCACATGACCTTTGGCGCGGCGCTGCCGCCGGCTGCATGTCATTACAGTCCTGGGTAAATAGCGGGCACCTAAAGCAACTCAAACCCTCACCGCCAAGGCTTGGCGAGTCCATGGGCCGACACTTCAACCCACTAAGCTACTGGAACGAACGAATCACCTGAAAAATTCGTGCTCTCGAGCCCCAGTTAGTTTTCGAAACAGCGATTGGCTTAAAAGATTGCTACAACTGCTGACCGACTGAAAAAACGGGCAGCGTGAATTATCAGTTTGATATACCTATTAAGGTGAATTGGCATGGGCTCTGGTTTTCCCGCAGGATTGAGACAAACTATTTGTATCGGATGGAACGATTGTTCGGACTATTGTCCATGTCTGGTGCGTTAATGTGCATGTAATGATTATGCACTGCTTTGGTAGCTGTCTGTTTCATGTTCTGCTGCAAGATGGAATACAAATTGATCTCCTTTGAGAGTGACTCCACAGACAGGGTGGCATACAGAAGTTGAAAGAGAGTTGACTAACGTTATAACAAATCTAGAAAATAAATGAAAGAGAATTGACTAAGACGTCAAACATCTACATTATGTTTGAATTTCTCGACTGCGTCAAGACTAGATCGAAGCCAGGATTAAGTTGGATGTGTAACAATGCCTAACAGCACTTCTTGAAAATAAAGACCAGCGTACATGAGCGTTGAATGGAGTGATGTCCGGAGGCCGGAAAGCATATTCATAGCCTTGTAATGATCACCCACAATGACCTAAATACTAGATCATCTATAGACTTGCGCCTTGCATTGGTGAACAAAGCAGAGCAGCCTTCAGAAAGCGTGCAAAACATGTACTTTATAAAACACGGACTACCCTACACTAGGTGCTCAGCATTACACAAAGCTCATCTAAAACCACATGTTGCACTCGGGCGAGCGCCATCGGGCCTCTCGCACGTTATATGCCATGAGCACAGGCACAACGGCGGCCTTTACGTCACAATTCAGTGCATACTGAGAGTTTCCAGACCATCGTTTTGACGTCTGTCGAGCTCGTGAGGCGTCACTGAACCAGAGATCAAGTTACCACTTGGAAAGTTATTAGTATAAGCTTCTTTCTAGCCGTACCCAGGGACGTATTCAATAATTCGCATTGGTCGTAGCACCACCAAAAAAATTACTGGCAGCCGGTTTTGCGTGTCGTGCTCTCGCATGTTGCGAATTATAGCATGATCTTTTGTGCTTACGCATTGCTTCATACTTTTAGTTGTCAACATTCATTTTATTCAACTCATATATAATTCATTCAGCCCAAATAATTAAACGCCATAAGTATGACAAGATTAAAACGTGCCTCCAGACTGCTGTGTGAATGCGTCGCTGGCTTAATTATTTTGACACGAGGAAACCCTCTTGTGAAGCCCTACAAAAGAGGCAAATGAGCCTTTAGATTAGCTATCCTGTAAAAGCGCCAACGACGTTATGAGCAACTTTTGACGCAACGTAGCACTGGTGTTGCTGTAATGGTTCTGAAAGTTTCAAGTCGCTGGTATAGTTCGCTCAAGAACCATGCTAGATGAGTTTTGGTAGAATTTTGCTGAGAAATGCTGCGCGTGGTGTTGGTGTGTTTAACAAGGCAATTTAGGAAATAATTGATAGGGAATGCTAAAATGTTACAGAACATTAGAGCAGAATAAAACAATTGACCATATATGTGTTCAATGTGGTGAAGTACGGCAGCCTGCAGGGACAAATTCTATTGGGTATTTGATAAAAATCTGCTGCTGGTGTAAGGCCAGATTTGTAAGCAAATAACGTGTTCGACTAGGTACTCTAGGCCCGTTGTACTTGGCATTTAAAATTTTGAAGGATCTAAATCGGAGACGTATCCAGGCAAAGCAATGAGGAAAGAGTTTTTAGCAATCAAATGTGATTGTTTTTACTTTATCATTTTGACATACTGACAGACATGCAATTGGTAAGCATCGAGTACGGTATGAATAGATGTGTATGTCCTTCTCTGTGCCTGTAAGTGTTACCAGGGATGCATGGATTACCAAATTAAATCGATTAAATGGGTGCCAAGCAATCAAGCAGGTAATATGGTTGCTGCATTCTGCTATGAATCTCGATTGCTGTGCCTCACGACCTGCCCTTCTGGTGATGTGTTACT